ACCGAGTGTAACGTCAAAATGACCGACAGGTCCACCAAGATGATCCAAGATGTAGTGCTCCGGGTGCCATGATCCACATGGGTGTGTGCGTGTATGCTTGTGTGTTTGTGTGTGTGTGTGAACATACCTGGACCGCCCAGTTTGAGAAGAGGAAATCTAGCCCCAGCCGCAGGTGGCGCCACAGCCGTGCAACGACATCCTTGATTTTTTTAAAAATGCACCCATACACATGCGTATGTTGATTGAATTGAATGCGTTGATACAAGTGTAGCTAGCGGGCTAAGACCCTCAATTATATAACAGTGAGCTGAGACAACGGGGAAAAAAATAGGAAAAAGTGAGAAGTGGCACATCATCCGCATGCATTCTCCCACTTTTGGGGCCAAGCATCTGTGGGTCCTGGTGCAGCAAACCCTTCATCCGCCGGTTCACCTGGCCCAATTCCGAAGAACACGGATGTTAAAGGGCCGTGTTGGTTCTTTCCTTGTTTGCCAACAAAAACAGCAACAAGGGTCCTCTTCCCGATGGTTCTTTTAGGTTTCGCAGGTTTGTGCTGCGTGCTGTGAAACTGAAGGTTCGCAATTCGACTTCGTGTCATCCTTTGGATCAGCTGCTAAAGCTGCTAAAGCTGCCGGTGAAAGATGGTGCTTTCGCAAAACCAAAAACGGCTTCCCCAGGTTCCCAGAACGGTCAACCAGGTAGGGTCAACCAGGTAGGGTTTAGGGTTCCGGGGGCCGCGGAACCACGTCGTGGCCCCGCCATGGACCGCCAAGAGAAAAGAGACGGATGGAATACTCTGGTGGCCAGCCTGAATCTACCTTTACATAAAAGAAACGAAAGAAATCCCAATCCTCTTCTCAGTTCTAGGTCATTCTAAGTCCTTCCCTTTCAGCCAAAAGGGTCAAAACGCCTTCTTCAGCGAGCTGTTCTCTGCCTTCAGCTTCCCCAGCTCCACCTTGGAGAAAAAGAAGAGCTGGATTTCGCTTCCTCAACCTCTACTGGGGCGAAAATGCGGTTCCTTACACGATTGTTGGATCTAAATGAAGCAAAAAAAACATCGCTGTTCCTCCATTGGAGGTACAGATCTCCTCTCGGAAAGTTCGGGTCCTACAGTAAGGCCTCTTTCGACTGGTGCCTAGTTGGGTGATGATGACGCTGGTAGATCAGGATATCTGGACTTGAACCGCTTTTGAAGTGGTCTCTTCAACAAGATTCCACATTTTCACACACCCCATGTGTTATTCATGAAGTTCAAAAGTCACCGACCTCGGTCTCTTCGCCCCCAACACACAGAAGCACCTCAGACCTACCTGACCCGCGACCACAAAACAACAAATTGTGTGGGGTCTTTTTGTCCAAACACTGAAGACTCTGTCGAATATCGCTCAATGAGAAGGTTCCTTCAAATCCAGAATGGATGGAAAGCCTCAGTCCAACATCCAGGATATCCTCATGCCGGAGCTTTGGGAGATGCAACATCTGGCCACCCAAGGAGACAAAACCATGGCTGAGTATGTCATTATAGTCTTATTGGCCGTCCCGATGCTTCGGACCTTCGGAAGCAAACCAAATGGAACGTGGCCCCATGGAACTTCGACCGGGTTTCGCTCGCGGGTTCAAGGGTCGGTCCACCGAGCTCACAGATCGAAGGCGCCGCGCCGCGCCTGTAGATGCCCAATCTTCTGATGCAGCTCTTGATTCTGTTCCAAGGCCTCGAGGCGAAGAACGAAGCGGGTGAGGCCTCAAGGCCGGACGATTTGAAACAAGTAAGTCCCAAGCTTCTTCAGTTCGTGACCGAACTTGAAGGTTCCTTTTCGTGACCCTACTCGGAGGCTTGTTCGTGACCGAACCAAGCAGGATATCAAGTACGGTCACTTTGAAGAGCCAGGTCACTGACTGGATTGAATATCCCTGGCCCGTTAGAAACATCTGACACCCCCACTTGCAACGTCTCCTGTGGTATATGTTTTTTTTTGGGTTATTCTTTTTTTCTGTACATAATAGCTTGAGTATATCGAAGCATCATCTCTGCATGGCAGTGTCCATCCTTCTTGAAATCCGCCGCTTCGTAGGACGAGATCAAAGGGCCTCGGTGTTGGCTGGTCGGCCGGGAGCTTGCGGCCTCCAAAAAACAAAGAAAGGACCTGGACCTTGTCACAGGACCTGGACCTAAAAAGAAAAGGGCCCAAAGTTAGGGGGGCATCGCAGTGCATCTTCGTGCCAACCTGCTGCGGGTCTGTCGGTGCCCAAAACGCGGTGCCGACCTCCCGCCCGCCCCACCCGGTCGTGCAAAGAGAGAGGAAAACCCAAACCGTTCAACCCAAACCGTGGAATTCGCAGACCCCGGACAGACCGGAGAGGGTCATGGCAGGGAAGAGAACTGGTCGAAGGTCGCATGCCCAAAAACTGATATATCATGATACAATGTTCAAAGAAATCAGGCCTGTCCACAAGCACCAACCCCGAACGACCACTCTTTCAGCCGGGGTTCCTTCCGCGTGCTCACCCGTGACCGAACGAATGGTCCGTTTGGGCTGCTGGTGGAGCCCTCCGAGGGGTGGGGATCTCTGGGCTCCCCGTGCTCCGCGCCACGCTCGTTGCTTCCAGCATCCCTCGAAACTCTTCGATCTTCCCGTGCTGGGCCTGGAAGAATTCACATCCGACTCCACCAGCAAATATCCGACTCCAGTAGAAACCATACCACCACCCAAATCGGAAAGAAAAGGAAGAGGATTGAAGAGAAGATGTTCCATCATGTTCCATCCAACCACCCAAACTGGGTGGTGCCTGTTTTATTGCTGTTTTTGTTTACAAAAGAAATCACCTGGGTAGGCGATGGTGGCTGTTCTCCACCATGTCTGTCCAGCTCCTAAATATCTGAGTCATCCGTCATCGCTGGTGGTCCGAAGTCGTGTCTTCTTGACTTCAGCCTACCTTCGCCTCGAAGAGAGCAACGCCGAAGCGGAGAGAGTCGCCGGAGAGTCGCCGGAGAGAGGAGAACGAAGAGAGCAACGGCGCGGGGAGAGCCGCCCCCAACCTTGACGATGTGCTTCAATTGTCGGATGAGCTCCTCGTCCTTGTGCAGCCTCCTCAACAGCACCTTTGGGAGTCGAGCACGGAAAGCTCCGAGACGAGCCAACGCTCCGGGCGTGTGATAAGACAAGCAACACACCGTCATCCCTGGCCTTTTTACAAGCAGACGCACCAAGAAGAATGGGAACGACCCGGTTTTGGGAGAGGAAACTTCTTAGTAAAACAATGATGGCGTTTCGGTAGAAAAAGTAATAATTAATAATCGTGCTTGGAATTGTGCTGAAAAAGATGCTGGTGTCCAACTGGCTCGGGAAACGACGTGCGTCTTGTCTTTCACTACGCACGGGTGTGCACTGAGGTGTTTATGCTCACAGAAACCCAAGAAGGTGCTCACCACCCGGGGTGGACTTAAGGACCTTTTTGGAGGCTTCATCAGTCAAGGTACAGTGTAATGTAGGCTTTTGATGAATAACCCCCCATGTAAAGATTCAAATGGGTGGGTTTACTAATCAAGAGTCTACATTACACATGTTCTTGACAAAGCATGAAAGAACTGTGCCACCTGCTGGACTTGTGGTCCAGGGTCCACTCCCACTCAGGTGGGCCAAAAAGCACCAAAACTGGTTCCCTTCAACCTGAGCCTGAACCTGAGCCTTGCTTAAACGGAAATGCTAAGCTATCCTTGTGGAGGAGGCAACATGAATGTAGACTCTTGATTAATCAACCATCCCATTTGGATTAGTCCTCTTCATGTGGGGGTATTAATCAAGAGGCAACATTTAGGGGTCATCCTTGTCTTCCTGCAGGGCTCCCCTGTCGCCTCGTACTGCTCTGCGGGTACAGCTAGGGACTCCAGATCGCCTGCACCTGGGCGCCGGGCCATGACCGGAACCCGTCCCAAACAGATCTTGAACGCACACACCTCCCTCCACCTCCCCCTATGCTATTGATTTCAAATTATATACAGTACTGCTTTGAATTTCTATCTCCCGAATCGAAAGCCGCTCACTCCGACTCGAAAGGCAACAGCCAACAGATCGGGGAACACGGGTCGTCGGGGCGTTCGGTCGCGGCGTTCGGTGAGGCGTTTTGGTCGCAGCCGACGTCCCAACCTTCCATCTCTTCCAACATCTCCTGCGGGCGTTGGAATCGCTCGTCCGCGTGGTCGGCGGCAGCCGCTGGAAGAAAGGGGACCGGAGGAGGGTCGAGCCGTGGATGGACGAAAACGGAGTTTGATCGATGTGTGGGGGGTATCTGCGACAAGCGCAGGGCGCAGGCTGATGCTTATTTCGTTCCGTCCTTGAATGCTTCTGCCTCCATCTCATCCATGTCTCCATCTTGGATGTCTATCATTGTGCTTCGAAAGCAAGTTCCAAAATCGTGGCATGTCCTGCTGAAGTCGTGCATGCTGCTCACCCCGATGGCTGGAAAAATGTACACTGTCTGTCTGCGGATCTCGGTCGTGGCTGTCTTCCATATAGATTCAAATTCCCTCAGGCCTTTTGTCCTCCTTCAATATGGCTTCGTTGCTGCACCAAAATCAGGATAACAGCTGGACGACAGTAAATACCGTGAAACCTTGAGCCACACATTCCACACGAAGTGAACATCCGGCAACAAGAACAATAAGAACAGTACTAAACGCAAAAATGCGGGTTCCCTGCAGGAACCTCCACCCACGCTCCGTCGCTTTGGCGGGTTTGCAGATTCTGCACGGCAGCAGGTTCCTTCGGCCGTCTGGAGACGAGGATGGACCGCTGAGCCACTTGGCCAAGGCGTCCAAAGAGGCCAGAAGGAGTGCCTGACTGGAGGTAGCATCCGGTGAATTTTCATTAGGTAGCATCAAAATGCATCCTGGATGGTCCTGGTATGATGAGGTTGGAACAAATCGGAGCAAGAAATACACCCTCGGAAGCAATGGGAGCAAGGTCATGTCCATGGCCTGTGCCTGTGCCTCGCTCCTTTTTTCACGATGCACGCGCGCGAATTCGGTGAAACGGGGCACCTGACAGAGTCCTTTTTTAAGGCGGCTCTCTTTTGGTCGCCAAGCCCGGCAAACCCCACAGAGTCTGGAGACGCTTGGCCAAATCGGAAGCTCCTGTTCCACATCTTGAAAATTGCACCGTGATTCATTGAAAAAAAGATACACACGCTTCATCTGGGGGTGTTATCTTCATCAAGAGGGTTTGCATTATATAATTACTATGTCACTGTCTCTAGTCCCGATCGTCTGCTCACGGTCTTCTTCGATTCCAGGGGTCTATCTTTCCCACAAATGGAAAATACGAGCGCTCCTCGGCACTCGTCGGGTGCCACAATGATCAGCTAGCTTCCCTGGTCAGCATTTGGATCTTGGATGACAATGAGGATGTACTCCTGAGATGACGAACTCAGCCGAGTCATGTTTGACAAGCAAAAACGTTACTGCATGGTGACGTTTTTGGGCAACTCTTGAGTGCACTGGAATGTCCACGTTTAGATGAACGTCTACAAAACACCAAGGTCTTAGAAGGGGAGACCCCCAACTTGTGACATACATGAATCTCGTTCACAGAAACGTTCTCGAGTTTCCAAACCCCACCGATCACTGCCAAACCTGTCGGTCTTTCTCATCCCAAGGTCCCGGGCGGAAGCCTCTGAAAAACCCATCCAAACGGCGCAAACCCGGAAGCCTCGTTTTCTTCGGATTCGACCGCCCGTTGGGCACCCGTTGGGCACCCGTTGGGCACCCGTGCTCGATCCGGAGCCACCATGATTTCGTGCTTCTTGGACCGAATCCTGGGGCTTTTCGGCGCCGAGCCGGCTCGGGCGCGCGCGGCGGTCTGCACAGATTCCCCACGGCTGCTCGGTGCGTACTCGGCGGCGTAGCGAGCGGTTTGCGGGGAGACGCCGGTCCTCAAGAAGGTGAGGTCATTCTGTGGGTCCTCGGCAGGGGAGGCACAAAAAGAAGAAATCGTCTTCCGATCGTTCTTCCTGCAAGGCACCAGTGTCAAACGTGTGGCCATTCGATAGATGTTTTGCAATCTTTTGCAGGTTGTGCCAACAAGGCCAGTGAGTGTTGCACGACCTGTGACCAGGCCAGTTCTGCATCTATCCAGGCGTGTGACACACCAAGGTCCCGACCAGTTCCCGAACCACACTTCGGGCCTGCGACACACGTGGCGCTTCGGAAGCCGCGGTGGGCTGCGGTGAGGCGGCTCCAGACTTCTCGCCAGGTTGGCACTCTGCGCTCTGAGAGGAAAGCTATAGGGGTTACCAGGGCCTCTGTTCTGTGCAGGACTCCAGGACCATTTATTTGTTGGTATGAGTCCACACAACTCGTGAAACGCATGTTCACTTCTGGGGAAAACCAACATCACCTAGCAGCTGTTCCGCTCCTTCGGAGCCCAATCTCACGTCCCCTGGGCATCTGGAGAGACCCCTCTCAGTGATCCACCCCACCTCGGATCCTCGGATCCTCCACGAGCCTCGGCATCTCATCTCGTGGCCTCCGGATCCCTCCACCCGCCTTCGCGGCCAGCTGCGAGATCAAAGCGGAGTACTGGAGCGTCTGCTTACTATCCAGCCTCGGTCCGTCTCGTTTGGCCCCAAGTCACGGCGCAGGTCGAGCAGCGGTCCGTCTCGGCGGCCCGCAGCGAACGGGTGGGTCTTTGGGGCGGAGCGCACCGAGGGAAGCCCAAAAGGGTGAGTTGGGGTGTGGGAAGTGTGGCTCAAATAGGGAAAACCTCCCAGTTCGACCCCTCTGGAAGAGAAATAGACCAAAACCCATTGGTTGGGGGCCAACCTACACGCCATTCCAGCGCTATCTGCATGAAGATTGATTGGTTTAGGGGCCTACTGTTGAAAGGCTTCTTGAAGGAAGGGTGCCCAGGCTAGTCTGACCAATCACACCAGGCTTCTTCAGGCCTGAGAAGCGAGTTTCAGGCGCTTGGGCGTGTTGAAGAGTGGTACAGTTATATTGAGCGACTTGAAGAGAAAAACACCCCTCTGGCATGATTCATCTATCTACCTGGAGCCTCCAAGGGGCCAAGCATGCAGTCTCTACCAATATGCTGATGAAAACCTCACTTTCCCTTGACCTTCCAAATCCTTCCTTCCAACAAAAAATCACGCTCATACCGAGTCATACCAGGACCCCCACCGAGGCAGGAGGCTCCTGGGTGGTTCACCCAGGGAGCCAGGTCCCACCAACCGCTCCGTGTGGCGCCGGCCGAGACCCTCGGGAGGCCGGGCGTCGATCGCATCGGCACGCCGTCGCTGTTCACAATGACGATGCCTGAGAGGACCGGAGGAGACACCGACGCACGGACGACGGGGCGCGTGCGTCATCGGAATGGAACTGTGCTCGCGCGTTATTTGGTCGCTGAGGAGTCAGTTTCTGAATAGAAATGGGTCGAAAGGGATGTTTGAAAAGATAAGAATATACACCAACGCTGATGAGATGAGGTACAGAAGTTGGGCAGAAACTGTCCAGGGACTACTCTTCTGGCTCTACTCTCCAACCAATCTCGATACTCTTTGAACAGGGCCTTTCAACATCATCTGTGGTCGGTTAGATCAGATCTGCCGCCTGAAACTCCTTTGTGCGTCTTGATGCGATTCAGGGTCTCCTCTACCTGTGGCCGAGCACACACAGGCCGAGCACACTGGCGGAGGACCGTTCGCCCCTCTTTCGGATGGAATGCTCGATTGGGCAAATGATGCTTCCCATGCAAAAGAAATGCCACGGTGTTTGGGCTGTTAAGATCACCGTGGAAGTCTGGCGTCACATAGCTATTAAGGCACATGGTGGAGCAGTGATCACAGGAGCTATTGATATGTCAAGAAGATCTCTGCACATCCGCAAGTCGACTCAACTACTGTGCACCTCAGACATGCTGCCAAGGACAAAGGACCTCGTGCTGTCGGCTCGACAGTATCCCCCACTGGTCTGTCACATCAGTATCACCCATGTTTGGTGACCCCAAAATCAAAAATAGAATTGCTTTGATGATTGGAAGACTATCTAACGTAGACTCTTGATGAATAAATAAATATGAAGAGAGGTTTTACAATCCAAAGGGGGGTCTGAAGCAAGAGTCCACATGATGTATCTTGGAGGCCACCCATTCCACTTCGTCCCGCTTGTCTGTGTTTTCATGCTGCACCACCTTGGCTGAGGAGAAGGCCTTTCACCGAGCTAGTCTCTTACAAAGCTTCCCTACCCCAAGTCGCTCAGCTTGAGCACCAAAGATCGCAGCGAAGCCATGGATCGGTCGTGGAATCCATACCAGGGACCCGACCCAACCTTTCAGCAGGGGGTCCGGACCCGAACCAAACCCTTTCCGTTGGTTCGGACCCTTTTCACCGGATTCTTCCCGTAGAACGTTTTCAACTTCATCTCAACAACTTCCAATGATTTTTGCAAAACATGTGGAGAAGCGATGAGGCACTCTCAAACCGGTAAGTCCTCCGGTTGAAAACGTCCCAAACGAACTCCGTGGTGGTCGATGTCGTCCAAGCAACGAAGTCGACCACCGATGGATTGTTTCGGATCTCCATCCAACCGTTGTCGAGGCACGCATTTGGATGTCCCTTAACCTCTAAAGAGCTATAATTCGACACCCCTTAGGGGGCCCTGGTACATCTTTGCAAGCCTTTGGTTTCAACCATTTTTGGAGTCGCCCGCCCTCCCCCTGTTGAGTTCCACTGTCAGTCTCTTTGGGTAGCCAAAAAAGTGTGTGAAAATCTGTCTGCACACATAAGTACTCAGTTATCGGCCAGCCGCACAACCGGGTCGGGGAGGGTCCTGTTTGGTAGTGCGGTAGTGTGGTAGTGGTACGGTAAAACCGGTGCTTTCAGTGGTTTCATGATGCGATGGCATCACCTCCCAGTCAGAGTGATCAGAAGGAACAAAACCACGGTGACTGGAAACACACCCCACAGCCCCACCGGACGCACTCACTCCCTGCGTTTCCTTTTTCTCAGACCTGCACGGGCCGCTCCACTCGACTCCACTCGACTCCACTCGACTCGACTCGACTCGTGCCACACACGCGTCAGTCGGTGGCCGAAAATCTCGCAGAGTTTATGCGCTGCACGTCCTGAGTTCGTTGCTGCGCTGTGCTTCGTCCACGGCGCGAGCAACGAGCGACGAAGCCCACGGCGCTAGGCCGCAACGTGCGCAAGGCCGCGACGGCTCGGCTCGGAGATCCAGCAGCTGGGTGAAGAGCTCTGGTGCAACTCTGAATGTGGGTGAACATCTGGGGGCCCCGATGAACATCTGGTGACTCTTGATTCATCAAGCACCCAATTGAAATGGAAAATCCTCTTCATATGGGGAGTTTATTAATCAAGAGTCTACATTAAGAACGACAAACCTTTTCCTTCTGTGAAGAGACGAGCGGCTGTGCTTCTGCGTTCATCCTGTTGCTCGATGGAGGCCGCCAATTCACCGTGCTTAGTGCAAATGTGTTGAATAAGAGTGCGAAGAAAGCGCGAGTTGGGGGCTCCAACATCACAAGCAAATGCTCGAAAACAACAAGTTGCAGCCTCGTCATGCGCCCCTCCCCAACAAGAATATCTAACAAACATATTATGATGGTAAACATTGGTAAACAGTCTTACGATCCAAATGGAGGGGGTGGTTCGTAATCAAGAGTCTACATGATGAACAATGGAAAACCACGCTTCGTATCATCTCACGTCGCTCATATATCATCTCTCGTCTCTCGTCTCTTATCTTAGTGCTACACCACAGTGGCCACAGGCTTCATTCCACCTGCTGAAAAACACATCGCGGCGCATGGCAAACTTGCCGAACGCGAAGAAAGCCATGCCAAGTGGGTGGAGCCTCAAAGCCTCAAACAAACATCGATGGAGGTCCAGTTCGGAATACAAAAGAATGGAACCTGGACTGACATCTCATGGTTGATTTACAAGAAAAGATCGTCGAATCCTTGACCCATGCTTAGTGTGCGCGGACCTCGCACATTGGCTTCGCGGAGCTGTTCGCGCATCCGCTGGTAGAGATACCTCGGTTGGGGGAGCACGAACTTCACGAACTGCAATCAGGTGCACATCACTGGAGTCGCCTGATGAAGAATCTGAATTTTAATGTAAATGAATCTTGAGTTGGCATTCCAGAACTGACCCTTCTTTTGAAGGTATTTTCACCCGACACCCGACAGCCTGCTTTCGGGATTGATCTCCACGCTGAGCTCATTGGTGTGAACCTGAAGAAACAAAAAAGAAACAAGAAGAAGAAGAAGAAGGACCCCGAGGGGAAAAAGGAACCCCACTCTCCGTAACACGGCCCCTACGAAAGAAGAGACCCTCTCTCTTCGGATCGCCCGGGGGAGTGACGGGGTTGGATTCCTCAACAACGATCCCTGCGGAGTGCGGCAGAGTTCCGGACGAAGAACGGCGACCCTTGAGGGTCCTGCAGGGAGGGTCGTGCAGGTTCCGGCAGCGGGAACCAGAAAACACCCACCAGGTTGGCTGTGGGGAGCTGGCGGAGACCGCCTTACAGACCGGCCCTTCGCGGCACCTGGACGACCGAAAAGGGCCGAAAAGGGACCACACACCCGTTGGAGGCCGGGCACAGCTTGGACGTCTCAGCTGAGGGTGTCTCTTGTTCCCCTGCGTCAAAAACACAAAAAAGATCCGTGTCTGGACGAATCGTCATTGCCTGGACCATGAAGCTCTTGTCCTCAGCAAAAAGGATCATCTGCATTCTAGGACATCGTCTCCGTCTCTTTTTTTTTTGAAATCATGAGGGTTACGTGGAGTGAACACCATCTGTTTCTTCTTCGGATTGAAAAATATGCTCATCCGTGTCTTCAATCCGGGGCCCCTGAGATCCCATCCTTGTAACCATGAGGATTCTAGGGAGCTTGGGTTTTTGCATCACATCCCCAGTACTACTAGAACAACAAACTTACAAATGACACAACATGAGATCAGGGGAGTTTTTTGTCTAAGGGAGTTTGGTTTGATCATACAAATGATTCTCATCTCCCTCCTTCGTTCGAAGAAGGCACCAAGATCCTCCCCCACCGAGCCAGCGTCGTGACTTCGCTTCTCCGATGGTCCCAACGGTCCCGGAGCAACGAACTATCCGTGAACCGGAAGGAAGGAACGTCCCGACCGCGCGACCCTTCGAGCAATGGGGTCTCAGATTTTTTGTTTGAATAGAATACACCCTACTAACAGGGCTCAGAACACGCTCTACTTGGATGGGGTTGCAATATGTTGCAATTAGTCTCCTGCTAGACCGGTAGTGAAGGAATCGATGAAAGTTGGGTTTGTTGTCTCAATAGCTTCAGCACCTGCACGTTCATAAGTTGCAGAAACTGCGCACCACCCTCCACCACGCGTCAGACACCAAAAACATTTTCGCAGGAAACGAAACAAACCTACCATCACATCGGAAACCAAAACATTTTTTGGGTTCGGACGAACGAGGAACAACTTTGGGGCAATGTTTGCCACGACCCTCTCCCGGTCCGTCTGTAATGAATTCAGTATGTTTTTGGACCCTTCCTGGTGGTGATTGGTTGTCACCTGGCGATGGTCCGAAAAGATACAGATCACGCTGAAGGAGCAGCGGGTTTTTTGCAGCCAAGAATCATGGTAGATTGGCCTTCCAAAAGTCGAGATCCTCCAGATGGGCACATTTAATACCTGAAAACCTGCAGGTAAAGAAACTTCATGCAGGTGAGAATACATAGCGAAGTTTTGTCAAAGACCCAACCATAAGTTCTCATGGTGAATGATAATGTGCAGGGAAATCAAACGTCCTCTCATTCCAGAGGGAGATGGGAGGTGGTGGGACAGTTGAAGTCCTTGCTATGGCTTCTCAAAGTGGCTTTCATGTTCAGTCAGGTCCCACCTTTTGATGGAGCCGAAGAAAACTTCCACAGCTGCTACAGCTCTGTGATATTCGGGGGGCCAAAACATCGGGGGGCCGAATCATGATAATCTCCAAAAAAAAACACTTATGATGAGACAAACTGGGAAGGAAGGAGACTAAAGCCAGCCCTCGTAGACACTCAGAGCAACGTGTTGTAGTCAAGAAGCTCCAAGAAGCGATGTGAGAGTGTCCAACACTCCGAAGATGCGTCTGCCACGTCCTGCTTTGGCCAATGTCCTTTTGCTAGAACCCGCTTTTCGGAGGTGCCCTCTTTGCAGGTGGCTGCCAAACAAAGCCCCACAGGGCAGCAATAAAACTGTTCCTTAAGGTCTGTTCTGGGGGAACTTGTAGCTAGAATCCACTTTTCCAGAGGCGCGTTTTTTACTGCGAGATGGTCCTCAAACAAAGCGCAGAAGGGCACCAACCCAGAAATGCGGTTTAGGGGTGTTGCTTCGGCTCTCTGCATTTAGATCCGTAAACACATTGTCTTTATGTCTTTCCACCCCTGGGCCTGCACCGACAATGCATCTCAAGCAGCGGCTCGCAAAATTCAATCAAAATGCTCAAGGATACATCTGCCATATCTTGCTTTGTTGCGGGCAAGCTGATGAGTTAAGACTGATGATATAACCTACGTCCAACCATAATGCGCAAAAGTTTGCAAACAAACCTGTCCTAAGTTGTTTTCTCCAATCATGTTTCCTCCTACATGTAACTTTTGTGGGGCGCTTTTTGCCTCAAGGACAAAAATATTTTTGTAAAAACGAAAAATCGAAAAACCACTTCTACCTAACCTCGAAAGGGCCAGCCCAAAGGGCCATAGGAGCACAGCCTGAGCAAAGGGGCGCCAACCAAGAAACTCCGGTTCCCTGCATCTAGAGCCACAGTCTTTCCACACTTATCCTCCTGCGTTTCACGCGTTGGCCGTTTTTGTCTCCGCAAAACCTGCCCAAACTTAGCTCATGCGCAAGATTCAATGTGCTGGAAGATGCCTCTGCCATGTCCTGCACTGCCACGGGTCTTATCGCTAGAACCTGTTCTGCCCCGAGAGGGCCTTGAAACAAGGCGCATACCTCAAGATTGCCTTCAAGCACACCGCAAAAGGGCGCCAACCCGAAAAGCAGCATCCTGCGTCAACAAGTCATTGTTGCCGCATCAGTGCACTTCTCAAGCAGAATGAAAACATCGTGAAAACAAAGGAAAGCAGAATGAACGCGAAACTCCCCTTCGCAGTAGTGACTTTGCTGAAGATCTTGGAAGGGGCCCAAGGAAAAAAGAACTTTTTGGCCTGCTCCCCCAACACACACCCATTACCCACTTCATTCGTAGGAAACACTTTAGCCCAGCCCAGCGCCTTGCTTTCGCAACAACAACAACAAAAAAACAACAACAACCACAACAACAACAACAACCACAACCACAAACACAAACACAAACACAACCACAACCACAACCACAACCACAACCACCAACAACAACAACAACACCACCAGCAGCAGCAGCAACAGCAACAGCAAATTGGTGTTCGTCAACATCACAAGAGCATGGTGTGTATATACAACCGGAAACTGCTGTCATAGTCTGATGTTCAAGCTGCATTCCTGCAGTTCTGACATCTGCTGAGGCATTTTAAACCTTCCGATTTGGTGGTAGCGCATGACACTGGTCGCCATGTGAGGTCATTGCGGGTGCAGAGCGCCGTCCATGCGGGCTCTTTTATGCACTTGGCTTGCAAAGGTAGATTGTCTTTGCAGAAAGCAAACATAGTCTTTCATCGTATTTTCTTTACAGCTGCTTGGGGAGACTTGGCTAGATCCCAGAAGATCGCGCTCCTTTGCTGGCGTCCATTTCTTCTTCACCCAAACATCAACAAAACGATTAAAAAAGGGCCCCACCACCACACATGGGGTGCGTTTCGGCCCGCCCTCTCTTGGACCGCCTCGATGGTGTTATACGCGTTCACTGCTGCTAGAACGAAACATGCCTGCTTGCCTTTGCAGCTGAGCAGTACCGAAAACGGTCCTTGGCTGATACCACACATTGCCTTCTTCCTTGGGGTCTTTGGCGGTGCCAAGCCTGCTTGCAGGCTGCCGCGTTTGCAGCTGACCGCTTCCATTTTTGCTGGGGGAAAAACCCCACACAAACACAACTGGACATTCTGCTGTCCACTTGAATGGTATCATGGCCACTTGGTGATGCAAAAAAAGCACTATTCAACCTCTTTGGCATCACTCGCATCACCACGGCCCTTATGCATTTTGGATCGCCCCTTGTGCTCGCTCTCCCCCAGCAGGCTTTGGGTTCACCCTACCCGACCACCCCCACACCCCGTAATACTCACTTCATTCGCCCATCTAGCACTTCAGCCGCAGCCTATCGGCTGGCTTTCGTGATACATCTCCAAAAACACCCAGACAGGGGAGTTGTCCGTTCCCAACCCCCTTCCCCCACCAAGCTCTCTTCATCTTGCCCCAACGCCCGAACGCGCGCCCACGCGTCGCGCGTGCGCCCGCGCGTCCTCCTCAACTTGGCGGATTTCCTGTGCACGACCGGCGCCGTCGGCTCCTTCTTCACCTGGGAGGGGGGAAACCGGGCCCAAGAGTTGGTCAGGTTCCGTCAAGTGGATGATTCATTGACTCCGTCAGAGCTAAGAGGGATTGGATTGACCACTTTCCTCTATTGACTCCATTGGAATGGAAGGGCCTGCCGTAGGGGTCCTGCCATGGGGCTCCCATAATACTAATAACAACAATATTAGTAATAATAACTATAGTAATAACAATAACAATAACAATTATTAATAACAATAATACTAATGATATTTAATGATTATGCTATTGGTAATATATTTTATTCGAAACGGTTTCAGGTCTCTGCAAAAAAACTCTGCGACGAGCTCCGCAGTTCGGGCCTTCGGTTCTTCCGGCAGTTCCTCCTCAGATCGACAAAAGCAAGAACCCAGCTTTGTAGCAGTCTATCCCCAGTCCTTCTGCAGGGTGGTCTCGTACAAAAGACCTGCCAGGTCCAAAGGTCATCGGTTTTGGAGTCGTTTGTTTCTTGAGTCAAACTCATCACCCTGAAAAGAAACCCCCAAGAAACCCAACACCTAGTCACTGCTCTTCTCAGTCACAAAGAAAGGCCTGGGAGAGAAAAACCGCCTACAAAACACTACAAAACCCCTTCAGTCTACAATGGGGATTTTTATGTGAACTCTATCCCAGCTCGTGTAGGGTGTCTTACAAGTCTTGCTGTAGGTGGAAAGTGAAGCTCCAAAAATCCTCACGGCCGCGGCTCTGGTCTCAAGAACTTCCCATCCCTTGAACCATACCCTACCTGCCACGTGAATGCCAGACTCCAAAAGTTGCGAAATGATGATGCATTTCAAGCGCCTTGCTGGTCGGTTGCATGTCTGTTCTCTCTTGCCATCTATCCGATCTACTCTGCAGCTTGGGCCACAGTGGCCCCCTGGCAGGGCCTGTGAGAGCGCAGGCGGCAGAGGTGCAAAGGAAGGGGAAGAACATGTTCAAACCTCGGCCGCTCCACTGCCGCTGCCGTTTCGGGCTTCCGGCGGGCACACCTGGTGTTGAATGACTTCCAGTTGGGGTGAATTGTTAGCCCCGAGCCAAAGAAATGGCACCCAGTTAACGCCTTACGCTTCACGGCCTGGCGAGGAAGTTAGGCCTGGCCCCTCCCATTCTTCGCCACCCACCCCTCTTTCCCCCACCCTCCGTCCATGGCCCCCCCCACGGTAGAGGAAGCCCCCGAGAGGGGGCGCCAATGCCCCAGCAGCTCCGTTCAAAGAGCTTTGGATGCCCAGCATCGTTCCCATCAAATCCTGGCCGTTTGAGCAGCTCCGTTCGGATTCGGTGCTCGGGAGGAGAACAGGAAGAAGATGTGACGTTTACAGCCAGCGCGCAGCGCTTCTGGGGGTTCGGAAACAGTGCAGCGGTTGGGTTGAAACACCAAGAGTTGCTGTAACCACCTGGCGAGAATGCCAAATCGAAGAGCTAGGGAGCCCAAAGAAGCGGAGATCACAGGGGCGAAGATCTAGATGTGCCCAAACCACGAGGTTGCCTTGCCATGTATTGGTGTGCCTCAAAGGCTTCTTCGCCTCGCTCCTTCAAAGCAGTGTGGATGCAAAGACTTCCAAGGCCACTCACGTTGAGAATCCCTCATTGACGCGGGTCAAAAGGTGTGCTCACTTGCGCTGCTCTTTCAAGGCACGCTAGAACCAAGGTCAGACCACTCCAATTCGCTCCTCAAACACCCGGCCAGTCAGTTCGTCCGAGGAACCAACGAATCGCTGGGCTGTGGCGATGGCTTCGGCACCACCAAATGGTTGCTACCTAGCGGACAGGTCCTAGGTCCTAGGCATCGAAGAAGTCCTCCTCCCCACCACCATCACCACCCTCCATCCAAACCAAGAACACCCCGTCGAGGCCCGGTACGCGGTACCAGACGCGGTGGGCGTCTCGTAAGGCCCCTCCTCTGGACAGTGGTCCCGGACCAGATGCATGAAGCCCATGCCAATCATCGTACCAGACAGCCCGACCTGGGAAGCCACCAGAGCCATCGGAGAGCGTGGTTGTTCGAAGCATGAAACCCTGAAGACAACGAGTCTTGTGTGTTTTTGTTCCAACAGAGAGGAGTCTCCTCACTTCACGAAAATCGGAGTTTCGTTCGTTTGGCACTCGAAAGCGACCACCCCAGCATCCCGCATTGAGGATGTTGGCGTCGTCGCGTCGTGCGCTGTCTTGATCTCCATTCGCACCAAGAAGACCGGCCGTCAACGACGCCCGCTGGGCCACCCGACCATGCTGACGCCAAAGGCGTAGGGGACCCAGGAGGCCACCGGCCCAAGCACCTGACAGCGCCGAACGCGAAGCGCCAGATCTCCTCAGTTGAATCCATCGAAGAGCGAAAAGGAGAGGTCACAAAGCTGAATAAAAGAGGGAGAATGGACAATGGATGGTAGGGGGGCGACGGACTTCTTCGCCTCCACACAAGGCCGATCTCTTCGGTAGTTCCTAATGAACACACAAAGAGTGCGTGAAAGGATGCAGCATTCATCCCAAAAACAATTCTTGCCGATGTGAGTTATGACCCACACCCAGCAGTTTTATGTTCTATAAACCCATAACTTCGCATGGAGGTCCTTCCATTGTGCGTCTTTGGAGGAGCTCACCTTTAGAACTCACAAAAGCCATCAAACACAAGATGACCAGGACATCTGCATGACTCATAGGGAGGAAAAGCCACAAGTAAGCCAGGCTGGAGCACCAATAGGAGAGTGCAAAGTGCACCACTCAAGCTGCCAGCCTGGGCATTTTCAAACACGAAAAGCAAGACTCGAGTGAGTGGCATCCCACAATGGAATCGATTGTTTTGCATGGATTAGGCTGATAGGCATGAAACCAACTGGTGAACAACGGCTCACTCGAAGGCTGTCGTCCAGTGGTGCTAGATTTCGGGTCTGCTATCTACCCTGCAGAAACGAGTTACTCCCTTCCAGAAAGGAGATACTCCCATGCAGGGCGCATGGGCGTGGACCCTCGAGTCGCACTGAGACCCCTGCGATGCATAAGGTCAAAGGTTCAAAGGTGGTCCTGGAGTCAGTGGTCATCTGCTGCGAGAAACCGGAGGTTCCGAGGTCCGAGGTGGAATGTCCGGCGTCCCGAATTGTACAGCACCAGACCACTACTCGACATGTAAAAATGACACTTATGCAAAGGGATTCTCAGGCTCACCCCTCCCAAAAAGACCGGGACCAGCTACCTGGGCTCTGACACCACCCCCACCAATCCTCGACAGTTTACCAAATCCCCAGGACCGGTACCCAGGCATCGAGTGGGTTTCCACCCACACATTGCGGCCAAGTCTCAGCAACACCGGTACCCAGGCCTCTGGCCGTTTCGGACAAAACGACCGCTGAAACGGCTCGTCTCAGTGTCGCTCGTTTCGACCGGTCACGTGCCGGGGGTCTGACGGGCGCCTGCGGACGGCGGAGGTCTGACGGGCCTCCACCGAGGGGGGAACATCGAGCTCGCTCGTGTGGAGACTGGAATCATTGGGAGACGAAGTCTCCATGTTTTACCCAACATGTACCCTTCAACTCCCCACCAGATCTCATATTCACACCTGTGGGTCCCTGGGTCAGCTAGAAGTCAAACCACCATCTTCTTCGCTTCGGACGACGAGGATCTGAAGATCCAGGGACGACCTGCACCAGATCCCGTGCCTCATGTGTTCCAGGCGTCTTCACGGGACCGTCGACTTCTGGGCTGGACCGTCGACTTCATCCAAGCTCTAAGTCCTCCCGCCCACCACGAGCGCAAAAAAAGGCGGGTCAGTTCCGCCCACCACGAAGTTGCCAGGTTTTTGGGCACCGCACCCGGAATTCCTTCGGACGCCCGGCCGATCGGGACCGCGGTTCGGGCCGTCGCAGCGGACGTCGCCGAGGGGCGGAACACACCAGGGTGGAGACGTTCGTCAGCCTGGGATCCATGCGGTGCACGCCACCGATATGTCGGAGCGGGTTCCGCCGGGGGTCCGGTTCAGTCCGTGCTTTCCACAAAAGAAGACTCCATAGAGGACGACGGAGGACAACGGACAACAGGCCCGGAAATGCCCTACACACAGGACCCCAACAGTAAAAGTGTTCAAGAAAAAAGTAGATACATGCACCCCATCAGCTCTTAAGGACATCCGAGCAACAAATAGAAAATGCACGCTTGGTCTTTGCCAAAGCCATATCTCTCCTTGAAGAATACCATCTCGGGCCCATCACCAATTGCAAAGCCAAGGGCATAGACAAAGGAGACCGCCAGCAAGGCACACGCTGAATGGTTCGAAAACATCATGTACACACTTTGAGGGAAGCTCTTCTCCGTTTCCGAATTTCCATTCGTCTCACTTAAGCCAGCAGCCGCCGTGTCCATGTCTGCCAGAGTCTTGGTCTTTTCTTTGACATCTTCCCAAAGCAACAACCCAATGATTAAGTTGATCACATTGATCACCACCACCCCGCCACAGAGAGAATTGAAGGGTAGACGATCAAAGCTTCGTGCCACCAGAGGCCCTGCCAATGCGCCAGCGCTCGTCATGACACGTTGAAGCGCCAAAACGCGGCTCAGCTCTTCTTCCGTATTCAAGAAATCCATGATGTAGGCCATTTCCACTGGCCCGGTGCTTAAAGCAACTCCCACCGCCATGCGTGTGATCATGAGAGACATCAATGTATGGGCTCGAGTCATGAAGAGATTGCAAATCATTTGTGTGAAAATTCCCAAGAGCATCACTCGCTTCCGCCCAAAGCGGTCTGAAAGCGCTCCCATCAAAGGTGAGCAAAACATCTGCGCCAGATTATAGGCGGAGTTCATCAACGACACCTCCAGTGCCGAGGCACCCAACTTCATCGCGAAGAACGGGAGTGTGGGCAAGACCACCATGGTGGCCAGAGCATTCAAGGTCTGAGTGAAAAGGATTCCGTAGATCCCCATCTGTGACCGCCTCTGAGCGGGATCTGTCCGACCCTGGAAGAAGCTGCTGGACCTCACACATTGGCGGAGGCCGTAACAAAGGAGTAGAAGAATCATGAAAGCGGTGAGGATCAGGAGGGGTGCCGAGCGCCTCAACGGCGGGCTGGACACCAAGCCATCGGAGAGCTTCTGCAGGATCTCAGAGGCTGCGGAGGCCATCGGTGCGCTGGCCACAGCCACCATGGACATCTGTGCCGCGTCCTCATTCCGGGATTTCAAGGTCAAGCTCGACTGGAGCAGAACCACTGGATGAAGTTCAGACTCACAGTCCTCAGCCTCACACATGGCATCAGACACAGCACTGATCATCTCCATGGCTTGAAAGGAGTCTGTGACATGAACGATCTACTTGGCATTGGGATGGTTTCCTGAGCCAAGTAAGATTGCTGCAGCACAAGGACTCAAAAAAGAGTATCCTTCATGGAGGCCTTCCAACCATCCACGCATTCCATCCCAACCAGTGAGGCTGGCCAAGTCGTAGCCTGTAGCTCGAATCAACTACTCCCGCAGTGCCTTCATTCATTCATTCATTCTTTCTCATGCTCATTCTCAATTCTCATTTCATGTCATTTCATTCCATTCCATTCATGCATTCATTCATGCATTCATTCATTCATTCAAACATTCAAACATTCATTAATGATTCCTTCAATTTTTGCGTGCGTCCCATGTGCTCGCATTCGCATTCGTTTGCCTGTCTTTTCTGCTCACATCTCGAGGCAAAACGAATTCGTTTGTTGCACGAATTGGAGGTTGTTCAGCAGTTGTTCGTGGCACTTCCCGTCCAGTCGTTCGCGACCTCACTGAACAACCCATCCTGCCTTCCTTCAGGCTGATTCTTTCCTAAGCGCCTGCAGTGTCTCACCCCTACAAATGCCCGAAGGCGGGTTAACGCCCGAAGGCGAAGGCGATTTCGATGAGTTTTCCTCATGAAATTCGTGGCGCCACACTGCATCTGAAAAGAAAAAAACTTTCCACCAGTCGATCGACTGAATTTCGTGCACCTGCCCTTCTCATGTTCTTTGCATCTGCAGCTCGCCCGCGCGTTGTGGAAGGGACTTGGTAGAATGAACCTCAGAGCGACTTGGACTTGAGCCGCAGACATAGGACCCATGTCTTCTGCGGGGTGGAAGGACCGGGAGCGCCCAGTTGGACGGGCATCGCCCTCCAAAACTCCCGCACCCCGCCCCGGTCTCGCTGACGAGGCTGTTTATCCATGTGGGGTGTTAGGGGCCCCGACATCGGGGTCAGATCCAAAGACACATGGAAGTCCAGGTAGTCTGGAGCCCAGCAGATTCACCAAAATCGCCTGCCGCGCACCAAGTGCGCGCCAGGACACCGCGACGGAGCTCGCCGCACGCGACGACGACGACTTCCCGGAGTTCCGGCGTCTGACACCGGTGGCGGAGGTTCCCGCGGGGAAGACCTTCGCTCGGCCGGGAAGACCTCGCCCTCCGAGCTCGCGATGCTTTCGAAGATCGGAGAGCAGGAAGACCCGAGAACAGCTCTGTGGCGAGGATCGATGCAAACCATGATCGGCCCTACCGGCCAACATGCTGAGGGCCGTGGTTGCGGAGTTGATGCATATTAGCAATAACTATGTAATTCCTCCAAAGGAAGTAGACATCTTAATGAAAGGGATCCTCAAGGCTTGCCCAGCTGTCTACACCAATTTGGGCTCCAAAAACGTTTTGACAGCTGCAGACGCCCTTACGCCCTTACTCCCCACAGCGAGTGACCGTGGACGCCGGAGAGTAAGGCCTTGGTGTACCGGAGCCGCTTCGCCAGCTCAGCACTTGGCACATCAAACGAACTGGTGAGCGGATAGGACTGGACCTGGCCCAGTAGAGAGCAGTCGACTGGCCGATCTGAAGCTGAAGCTGCTTTTGCATTGAAAAGCTTTCGTTTTGACCTGCTTGCAACACGCTTCAATACTTCACCTGGAGTACTAGAGTACTGTCCTTTACTTCATCCAGAAGCCTGGTCTTTCCCAGAAAAAAAAACGCTCTCCAGCACTCAGTGGGCACCGGTTTGTGGTGTTTAGCTCTGGTCAGTGGGTCCACCGCGTCCACCGTTCGCAGCCTGCCCCTTCTTGTCCACGTAGGTCACGGTGTGCAACTTGGAAGAGAGCACAGCTTCGGTCTTGTCGAAAAAAATCACCTCGACCGCTGGGACGGGGATGAGAAAAACAAGCGCTTCAGCTGCAAGAAGCAAGGCCCTCTATTCTTCGTCTGATGGGTAAGTGTGAAGTGTGCCGTTAAACAACAATTTGCAGCAGACCTGCAGAAGCCTTACTTATAATTTGACATTTGCCTCAGGAAGCATCCAATCTCCGGCACAATGACTTGTCTCAGAACATGACCCTTCCAAACTTCCCCAATCAATGGCAGTTCTACTGGAGGCCTTGGCTAGTAGGTTGGAGGACATCGCTATTTCCACCAGACTCTCCGAACTGAACGAACCCCACAAATGGCTGTCTGCTATAGGCCTTCCTTCGTTTCGGTTCAGTCGGCCGCCTGAACAATCTTATTGCTGAGCTGGAACATGATGGCGTGCTTGTTCCGGGTCCACTTTTTGACCTCAGGCAGCATGCAGCCCAGCTTGACCCACCTCATAAGAGAGTTCTCTAGCCGAAGTTCTTTGCCCCTCTTTTGGGACATAACCCCCCTCGCCCTACCCTGCAAGCCTATGACCACTTAAAGACCAACCAGATTTTGAAGGAAAAAGATTGTGCGATCCGAGATCCCTGGATCTAAGAATTCCCCCTCCACCCCGCAGCGATCTCCAACTTGTAGATCAGGAATGAAGCTTGGACACTTCATCCCAATCGCACTCTTGGCATGCACGCTCCTCTGACAACAACAATCTCCCCCTCTCACTCGAATCGGATATCCGCATCTTCGAAGAGAAGTCCCGCATCGACATCGAAACAACACTTTCCGCAGCTGTTGAGGCTTCAGCAAAAGGGACCTCTGCGGCTCTGTCACAAGCCTGGCACCAGCAGTCAGTTGAGTTTGCCTCTCGAGAGGAAAACTATTTTTATCCAAGACAGCGAAGTTTACAAGACTTCCGACATTTCTCACCTTCACAAGTGCCTGGCCCGTGACACATAGAGTAATTAAATAGATAGACAATGCCCAGGTCATGATACAGTCCAACTCATGAAGCTAACCGGTCTTCAGGTCTCTTACATGAACCGAGACCTAACCCGCCGCGTCCGCGCGCCCCTCCCCGTCTTCTCCGGATCTGGGGATCTCGGGATCCCCGGATCCCGCTCCGCTCCGCTCCGCGGATCGCCTTCGGAGTTCCAGCGGACTTCAGACTGGATGTCCCGGCCGAAGCTCCATCCTCACTGAGCGGCAACGGATGCACAGGCTTCCTTTGGGGGGCGGGGGATGGATGGTCATTTCACAACGCGCAATGGCAACGGATGCCAAAGAAACCCCGTGGTTCGAATCAACCAGTTCTTTAATGATCTATACCAAAGAGCCATTGCTTTACTAAGGGTTTTTACACTACACCACCAGCTCAACCATTCTTTTCATGGTCTTTGAAGGCTGGGACAAAGACATGTTCGTTATAACATGTTCACCGTGCAAATCCAAAGCCTCTTTAGGGGCTGTGATCATTCTTGTGGGGGACTTCTCCAGATCCCATAGTCGTATTCCTTGGACCACTTGTAACCATTTCTTGGGGAAGCCTTCACATGCTGACAGCATTCCCCAAACAAAAGCTGACACCCTGGCGGACGCCCACCGTCTGTCCTTGCGCTCCAAAGCATCCGCCGTCATGTAGCTCTTGAAGTTTCGAAGTAGAATGACTTTCTTTTTCAACTCCTGCATCAAGCAACCTCACCCTGCTGCTCACATCCCGAATTCTAGCAAAAACGTCCGCTCTTCCGGTCTGAAGGCGTCTTCCGCACCCCCACTGGGGACCTGAGATCGCACGTGATTCCTCTCCTCTGGGTACTTCTCCCAGGAATACGTGTTGCGCTCTTCCGGCTTCTCTTGGGTGCGGCGCCTGAGAAGGAAGGGCCGCCCCATCGGGGCCTCTGAGAAGGGCCCCTTGCCGGCGCGTCCCGCGCGGCGCGCGCCGCGTCACCGAAACTTGGGTTTCTGGCACCGAAGGAGCTCACTGTTGGGCCTCCCGACGTGATGTAATCGAAGACGTCCCCGCTCGCGGCCTGGGTCGAAAATACTGGGCGTCGCTCTTCGCCGGACCCGGATCCAAATGTTGAAAGGCTTCGTTCTAAAAGGACTGCAGAAGGACTGCAAGTGGTTCAACAGTGTCAGAGGAGATGGGATCTCCCGCCGCCTCCGTTGTCGGCTCCCTCCAAAGCTAGTGGATCATGTGTTCTTCACTGTACAGGTTTGTGCCTCATGACCATCCAATCTTCGTTTTGGTGTCCATCATCCAAGTTACGCGATCAAGAAATTGGCAGGCTGACAAACCATCGAGGTGGCTGACATCCGCATTCTTCCGGTGGAAAAACGGCCCTGTCAACGCAGAGTTACCAAGCGATCTCTTTTACGAAGCTTCTACTTCCACCTGCCGCGGCCGCGCGAAGAAAGGGCCGTGGCGCTAAACTGGAAGATGATGTGGCGCATATCAAGCTTCAAGAGGAAGACCAGACCCCAAAGGGAAAGTTCCCCAAACCGACGCGAGCCGGCTCGCCGTGCATTGAGGGAGACACTCCCGACAAAACACTCACATGGACCCGGAGAACGGCACCCTCAGTCCAACTGCTCATTCCTCTATAGCTGCACCAGTGGTTGTCAGGGTCCGACTGTTCATTTTCAGTGGGGTCATGTTTGCAAACACTGAGCCGGCGGCGAGAATGATCTTCGTGGAGTCATTGAAGTAGACACCCACCGAGCCATCCGAGAGGATATAGCCCACGCCATACCTGGGATGTAGCAATTCATCCTGCGTAGGGAATGATGGGAGGGACCCCATCCAGGAGACCTTGGGAAATCCATTCCCTTATTTCCTCATTTTCTGCGTAACATATCCCTGAGAGTCTAAGTTTGACTCCTATTTTTGGTTCCTCTGACGCATCCGTGGATGACGCCTCTTTTTTTCTCCGTGTCGCTGGGGTTTTGAGTGAACAAAACACAGTGGCCCAAAACTGCCCACCGCCGGATGGTCACTTGCTGGCATAGTCCACCCACTTGGTGACCTCGCTGCCGACGCGAGAGCGCGAGCTGGCCACGGACGGTCTGGAACCGTCGTCACGGTCCGTCATGGGCGATGGGACGGTCGATGAGATGAAGGGAGCAAAAGGCAGCCCAAAAGTAGGTTCAAAGGAGTCAATA